AGATTCGCTTAGTATAATTTGAACCCTGGTCATGAATATCGCAGCCCTCTGAGTGCGATTCGCCTGGTGCATACATCCTCCACGCCAAAACTGGGTTGCGACATATGTCCTTGTGGCGCAGGTGCTGGTCTTTTCCCCCGCAAGATAATGTGCTACCGCTGCTCAAATGGTAGGAATATCCCAGAAGGTGAGATCCGGCTCACTCTGCATCTAGTGAAAAATTTCGAAAATAATGTAACCAGAGTGTCGGAAAGTGAGGCGGAAGCGAGTAAATATTGTAACGTGTAAAAACAATTAAAATATTGAAACTGGATTGAATTGAATTGAATTAAGATGGCTTGAGGGTGCCACACCTGTAAGCGTTTGTCAGAGTACTAGAAACTGTTATTTATGTACTTATGAATACCGGACAGCGGCGAAGTTCGGTTTGGGGGTGGTTCCGAATGGAACTGAGCTAAGCTTGTACAGACCACCTTGTGAAGAATTGTGAATTCCTGTTAATGAAGTGGCTCACACGCACCGTTTCACACCTTCACAGAAGTTTGCAGCTCTCATCAAAGTGGAACCTATTATTCAGCTGGAAGTAATAAAAGGAACTAGCGGATGTGTAGGATGCCCCTCCAAATTGAACAGCGCCACGGGCAACCATTCCGATACCCTGTACTCCTAATTATCGTCTGTCAAGTACTTGTAATACCCTGTCAAATTTTTTCAAAATTACTGGGAGAAAATTCGAAATAAAAAGAGTGGCACTAGTACCACTCCGTCTAGACTTGACAGGGTTCACAGGACATGACAGGAGTTCACAAGGTATTGGACAGGGTTTTACAGGACTTGCGGGTGGGATAGAATGTGAAAAGACAGAAGAAAAACAGAGACAAAAGACGAACACGCACACATTGACAAGCTCTAACAGGTAGGCACCCCAAGAGTTGTTACCGCCCAAATCATGATTTTTTTAATGTAATTAATGATTTGATTAATAGTAAGTAATTGGAATATTTGTGAAATACATCATTCAGCTGCTATGCATCACTTCAGTGCCAATTACGCCAGTATTAGCATTTATGAAACGTTGGATATTTGGGCTGCTGCTCTGCAAGGTCGTTCCTCCATGCCAAGGCATATCTGGTAAGCCGTACGAGATGAAATATCTTAATTAATTTAACGCTGTGTTAATGAGTTGTACCCCTCAAAATTCGTATCATCCAGCCACAACATATTGGAAAAGCCACAAGAAGTGCTTTGGCGTGTGCTAACGTATTTGGGGGGGGGGCACGCGGCTCGCGGCGAGTGATGACTCATCGGCTCTTCACTCATTGACATACTTAGAGCGCTAATCTAGCAGCAAAATTAGAATAAAACAAACAAGATTCACCGAATACTTGCTGAGAAATCCCCACAGAAGCTGAGAACAACAAATGTTTGATCTTTTGTAGTCAAGAATAACGGTCAACATCAAAAAGGCAACAATCGTTGGTAGTTTAGGCAAAATCTTCCATCCTACAACTGTTTCTTCGCACTTTTCAGCGTTAACTGCTTAAGCTTTCAAATATAGCTAGGACGGTGTTATATCCATGTCTTAAACATGAGGTTACTTCTATTTTGCCGAGGAGGAAGCAGAAGAGTCGATGAGTCATCACTCGCCGCGAGCCGCGTGCCCCCCCCCCAAATACGTTAGCACCCTTTGGCGTTCCTCAATCATTCCTTGACACTGAAAAGTAATCGGAACCCTCCCTAGGGTAGCGTATTTCCCGGGTTTCCTCGAGCTCAACAATCCTGATGGAGCTTAATTGCTATGGCTATCTAGTGGTCCAGGCGCTGCAGCTCCCATATGCACACCTTCACATCTTCTCAGATTTGCTGAAATTCCTGAGTGTTTTTCTCTTTCAATAAGGGGCGTCCGATGTTTTCCCAGACATCCCTGATTCATCTAGATGCTACGAAAGTGCTATTTTCCACTTGAAGCTACGAGTGATCATAAATCGGCTCCAGCAATAAAAACCACTCAGATCCTTCTCGAAAGTGGATGGGACAACTACTATGAAGAAAGAAATTCACAAGGAAGTCTTGCAGGAGTGAAAGTTTGAACTTTTCAGTTCTGATCTCTTCCTGGTGCTTGTGCTACATAGCTATTGATCGGTATCGAAGTATTGTGACACCGTTGAAAGAGCCATGGAAGCTGCAGCACGCACAGGTACGTGGAGTGCAATCTCGTTCCGACTGGTCTCGCTCCTCCACTGCTTGAAGGGTCTTCAATTACAGCGTGTGCTGATTGGGACGTGGTTAGTGGCAATCTTCGCATCTTCTCCTCTCTACTTCTCTCAATCACTCAAAACACTCACTATGGCTAACATCACGCTATGCGGAGAGGTTGGTTATTTGTGGATCTTTGCTCAGCTCATCATATAGTACGGCAAATAACCGGATAGTGCTCAAAATAATTAAAAATTATTTGAGCTCTAACAAGGAGAGCTCTTCAGGTCTTAAGCTCCTCTAAGCGGATTCCTGCATTTTGCAGGGATACATGCGTGGGCTACAAAATTGCAGTTCGTCTCGTCCGCGTATCTTAGGAATGCCAAAGTGGAGTAAAAAAACTTAAAGTAGAAAATTTATTTGGGAAGTGTTACATAAATGGCGTTGTGGCGTTGTATACCAGTTATGGATTCGACTATTTACAGTGCAGTAACCGTGGATGGGAAACATGGCGAAAAAGTCAGAAGTAAAGGCTCCCTGGCTGCAAGTATAAAAATGGATAGAGGAAAAAAAGAATAAAGTCCCCGTTGATCAATTCCTTTTTAGGATGAGCACGCACTCTACTTCTTCTCAGAACTGTAGTGGCTCACTGAATGCTATGTGGCCTGAAATGGCTTGCGTAGCCAGCCGATGCACAGCCTCATTTTTAATCCTCACAAGACGATCTGTGGCAGTTTACGCGTCCCCCGGGGTGTGCGATTGACCTGGGCGGAGAGTCGATCTGAAGACGCTCCTGCAATCCATGCAAACTTCAGTCGGCCGGATAGGTTGATGGATGCGAGATGGGCTCCCATCCATGCCCTTTATGGATCGGCCTGTTGAGATCGAAGCATTAGCTTTTCGGACTTCATTTTTTCTCGAGTTCCTTTGTATCCGCTAATAGATGTAGCCGGCTATGTGTCAACTGAGGGCATCTTCTCTATAGAGATGCACGGCACTCAGCCTTGACCAACTAATAAGGTATTACAGCCTCATGACTTATCATAATGGTCACCAACTTGTACCGCAACGACTGGCGCTAGAGTTATGATCGTGCCATCATGGAACCTATACAAGAACTTCTTAACAAAAGCATTGTGGGAAAATTCAATGATTAGAGAAGATCAGAGGTCATGATCAGGTTCCTTCGAAATGATTTATGGAATATTTTAAAATAAAATTCATGTTTGTGATCCGTACTATTCTTTCTTCTATGCCTTACATAGTTCGTGCAGCTTGCAAATGGTGACTCAAAATTTATGATTAAAATTATAACGAAGAAGCGTCAAGAGAAGTACCTGGTGCTCTCTTATGCGTTCTAGACCAAAGTGTCCAGGACATCCAAGGTAGACCAGTCCATAAAGGAATAACCTTGTCGTTCTGTCACAATGAAGCTCTCTGTTCACATTTCCTTAAAAATTCCGACTCGCAGTTAACTCGCCCGTTCTTCCGATCCTTTCCTTATGGTTTTTACCTTCATCTTTCAGTGTGCCATTTGCTGATATTTCCAGCCTATTTATTTGGGTCTGTGGCACACCTTCGGGTCTGTTCAAATGAATGAAAAAAATAAATAAATAAAGTGAATAAATGAATAAATTGGTAAGAACAGGCGCCACTTTTCCTATTGTTATCTCCCAGAAACTCTCAACTTTATTTCGCTGAAAGTGTGCGCTAGAAATGCCATTGGCGAAGCCTTGCTATGAATATGAAAGTTTTTGGCGCGCTTGGCGCCATTCGGCACCAACAGGGCGGTATTTTGAGCCGTTAATCTACTTTTTCAACGGAAGTGATGAAACTTGCAATTAAATAGCGGTTTATGATATTAGGGCTTGTCCGGAAGTTCTTCTTAAGACGTTTTGGCGTGTTTAACTTTCAAGCGATCATAACTTCTTAACACTCATCGGATTTAATCCAAATAAGCACCATTCGAATCAGCACACTTTTGCCAATGTGGCAGCAGTCGAGAAATCCCATCAGAGAAAAAACTGGGTGGTCGAGATCCACGAAATCTGCGAAGGTCTTTTTTGCCTGGTCCTGTTTGATGAAGTATTTCTCAGCAGGAAGTTCTGAAAATGTCTGAAAAGGTGACAGTCGGTTGGTGAAAGGTCTAGAGAATATGGTGGGTGAGGTAGAACTTCAACTCCCAATTCGTTCAATTTATGGATAGTGATTTGTGAAACGTGTGGGCGGGCGTTGTCATGCAAAAGAATCGGACCCTTTCTTTTGATAAGTGTTGGCTGCAGCTGACAATATTTTCGGTACTTTGGTCGGTTTGTTCACAGTAGGTTCTGCTGTGATGGTTTGGCCTGGTGATGAAAAGTTATAGTGGATTACAACAGCCGATGACCACCAAACCTGACCAGAATTTTTTTTTCGCGAGGGTTCGGCTTTGAAAATTACCTCGGTGGTTCCTCCAAATCCAACCACTGTCCGGAACGTCTCCTGTTATCATACATGATCCATTTTTCATCACAGGTGACAAATCCGTTCAAAAACGGGTCAATTCTTTTGCGCAAAAGCAGTGAAGAAGGAACGTCGAGACTCTTTGCCGATTACCTTGCCGGTCATCTCCGATTGTGGGCACCCAATTTTGGTCGAGGTTTTTTCACCTTCCAATTTGCGTTCAGAACATCTTGCAACGTGGAATTTGCCAAGGCCTAGCCTTTGCTGCTATCTCTCGTAACTGGTTTGGGATGATGGGTCAACCTTCAAAATCCCCCTAAAATCCTCGTCAGATATTGCTTTAGGTCGACCGCTATGAGGCTCACCTTCAAGGCTGAAATTTCCAGAACGACATTTGTTGAGCCATTGCCGCACAGTGCTTTCTCTAGCACTATTGGGCCCCCACCTGGTTAATTTGTTGAGCTGTTTTTCGATTGCGGATTGCCCCAATTTATAGCGAAGAAAAAATCGTCCGAAGTGCTTTTTCACATGCTTGAAAAAATCTTGAAAAAGAGGGTTTATAGCACATTGGTGTTTAAATCGGCAGATTATCCATAGATAGCGCAAGAAATTCTCTACAGGATGTGCTACTGAGAAGCAAGGCAGAATGAGTTTTTAATCAGCAGTGAATGTACAAAAAATAAGGTGCACAAAAGCTTAAAGACTTTTCGCGACACCTCTAATTAGTCCTGTGATACAACAAGTTGAACATTACCTTCGAAACAGCGGCAGTTTTTGGCGCTCATGTTCATGCTTATGTGGGAAGAGGATTGATTTCATTTCCTGGTGGGTGCAGGTAAGAGAGGTACAGCGGCCGCACCAAAATGATTGTCGTATTTCGCGAATCAGGGATGTCAGCGAACGGGTTCTTTATTACTTTTGCTCGGGAAGGGTGACTGTGTCATACTGGCCACCTTGATTCTGGTCCCTCCAACAACGACAGGGCCAAAATGAGGCGTGGTATTGTAATCGGGCTTATCATGTCACCCCCGTCCTTAAATTTTCATCAAATCGGGAGAGTGGTGTGTGGATGTTTTCTTGCCAATTGGCGCCAACTATTCCGTAATATCATGTTCGGTGTGTCAAGACGCGGATAACTTCGGCGGACGGAGTCCGTCGGATATTTTTTTGTGTTTCTGGAGTCGCCATAGAGGAAAAGTATGACATACAATTTTCCTATCAGACCAGCTTACGTGCTAGTAGAACTCGCAAAGAGCGCAATCTGTTCAATTTCCCGTACGAGACATTTGCACGTCTTCATGATTGTCGGGTGACAAAACATGGCCTTCTGAAGTTGTGGGAACTTTCTCGAGCGATTTTTAGCGAGGCTTACGCAGCGCATTAGAGGGTGTGGGAGCAAAACCGGTCACACAGGTCACCCACACGGGAACGGAGATCTAATGATTCGGTACTGTCGTTCGAAAGGTCGATAATTTTGAATTCCTTTAGGGTATTGATTAGGTCGATCAGTTATTACATGCTTAAAAATCCAAACATTGAATGGTGCTCGTCTCATCGCTTCTAGGCCTCCGCTGACTTCTAGTGGTGTGGTTGATATTGATTGGAGAAATCTGAAAAAGTCCTCGCGCTTTGGATCGGGCACTTGTGAGATTGCGGACACGCATTCTAATTCCATTCAGAATCGTGTTACTTGTTGATTGCGATTGTGGCCTATACAATGAATTGCGGAGCCCAGCCGATGTGTGAGTCAGTGCTCCTTTTCAAAAAAATGTGTTACCAATTTATCGCTTCGGAGGGTCGAAGACTTGGTTTGGCCTGAGCTGGAATCGATCGGGGACAGGGTACAGCATCGCTGTAATAAAATAGGGGGGGTCGTACTTTTCCGCTGGGGAGGGGAGGGGGGAATCGTATGTGCCTCTGAGAGAAATTTGCTGCGTCGGAAGAAAAGTTCTTCCGGTGGCAGTTGCCAACTCCTTCCCCCCTCCTTCGGCGGAAATTTTTTGGGTGACAAACTGGAAAATGTGGGAAATTGGTAGGTATATGTTAGGAAGGGGGGGGGGTCGTACCTACACCACTACTTTACACATCACAGTGCTGTACCCTGACCGGGGATCTGAATCCAGGACCGCGCGAGTGTTAAGTTCGCCACTTGTCACTGCACCTCCGTCTCAGATGATGTAAATTTCTCTTCAAAGACCTGATCATACCTGTTTTGCAAAAGACCCGAGGTCACAGTCTATGCACAGATTAAGAGTTTTTCATGGGTTGCTATTATCTCCACGCATTACTGTCCCTCCCACAGTGTATAAACACTAAAGGAAGCGAGCAGTTGTAGCTTCGTAGCATGGTCGTTTTCGCAGCAGACGCTTGGGCGTGTCAGAGGATCGGGTTCCCCGCTACAACAACCTCCTTTTTCACCAATTGTTGCCGCTTGTTCACCTCGGCAATAGTGCCAAGGAGCCGGGGCTGCGCCGAACCGTCTCCGTGACACGCTCAAGCGTCTGCAGCGAAACCACTGTGTAGTCCGTTCGATCCCTCTTCTACTCGAAAACCAAAAGCAAAAGATGCTCGCTAGTATCAGTAGCAGCATTAATCGGTGCAAATGAGGTTTGGAGCTCAAGCTTATCTTGCGTGAAAATTAATGTGTTTTTTGCAGTTTTGCGGTGAATTCAACTGGTCACAAGAAGATCACACCAAGTTGATATATGGCATTTCATTGTTGGTGATACAGTTTGTGATTCCAGCGATCATAATGTCGTTCTGCTACTGGAAGA